TCGGGACTCTATTTTCTACTATTAGGTAGTCCTTGAAAGTACCCTAATCAACCCTTCTCACTTGAAATCAGTTTTAATGAAATTAGTAATTTTAAAAATTGTTCCTAAAAGCTCAGTCTTACAGTAGGTCTTAACATTTAGGTTGAAATCAAATTATGAGAAATAATCGGGACTCTATTTTCTACTATTAGGTAGTCCTTGAAAGTACCCTAATCAACCCTTCTCACTTGAAATCAGTTTTAATGAAATTAGTAATTTTAAAAATTGTTCCTAAAAGCTCAGTCTTACAGTAGGTCTTAACATTTAGGTTGAAATCAAATTATGAGAAATAATCGGGACTCTATTTTCTACTATTAGGTAGTCCTTGAAAGTACCCTAATCAACCCTTCTCACTTGAAATCAGTTTTAATGAAATTAGTAATTTTAAAAATTGTTCCTAAAAGCTCAGTCTTACAGTAGGTCTTAACATTTAGGTTGAAATCAAATTATGAGAAATAATCGGGACTCTATTTTCTACTATTAGGTAGTCCTTGAAAGTACCCTAATCAACCCTTCTCACTTGAAATCAGTTTTAATGAAATTAGTAATTTTAAAAATTGTTCCTAAAAGCTCAGTCTTACAGTAGGTCTTAACATTTAGGTTGAAATCAAATTATGAGAAATAATCGGGACTCTATTTTCTACTATTAGGTAGTCCTTGAAAGTACCCTAATCAACCCTTCTCACTTGAAATCAGTTTTAATGAAATTAGTAATTTTAAAAATTGTTCCTAAAAGCTCAGTCTTACAGTAGGTCTTAACATTTAGGTTGAAATCAAATTATGAGAAATAATCGGGACTCTATTTTCTACTATTAGGTAGTCCTTGAAAGTACCCTAATCAACCCTTCTCACTTGAAATCAGTTTTAATGAAATTAGTAATTTTAAAAATTGTTCCTAAAAGCTCAGTCTTACAGTAGGTCTTAACATTTAGGTTGAAATCAAATTATGAGAAATAATCGGGACTCTATTTTCTACTATTAGGTAGTCCTTGAAAGTACCCTAATCAACCCTTCTCACTTGAAATCAGTTTTAATGAAATTAGTAATTTTAAAAATTGTTCCTAAAAGCTCAGTCTTACAGTAGGTCTTAACATTTAGGTTGAAATCAAATTATGAGAAATAATCGGGACTCTATTTTCTACTATTAGGTAGTCCTTGAAAGTACCCTAATCAACCCTTCTCACTTGAAATCAGTTTTAATGAAATTAGTAATTTTAAAAATTGTTCCTAAAAGCTCAGTCTTACAGTAGGTCTTAACATTTAGGTTGAAATCAAATTATGAGAAATAATCGGGACTCTATTTTCTACTATTAGGTAGTCCTTGAAAGTACCCTAATCAACCCTTCTCACTTGAAATCAGTTTTAATGAAATTAGTAATTTTAAAAATTGTTCCTAAAAGCTCAGTCTTACAGTAGGTCTTAACATTTAGGTTGAAATCAAATTATGAGAAATAATCGGGACTCTATTTTCTACTATTAGGTAGTCCTTGAAAGTACCCTAATCAACCCTTCTCACTTGAAATCAGTTTTAATGAAATTAGTAATTTTAAAAATTGTTCCTAAAAGCTCAGTCTTACAGTAGGTCTTAACATTTAGGTTGAAATCAAATTATGAGAAATAATCGGGACTCTATTTTCTACTATTAGGTAGTCCTTGAAAGTACCCTAATCAACCCTTCTCACTTGAAATCAGTTTTAATGAAATTAGTAATTTTAAAAATTGTTCCTAAAAGCTCAGTCTTACAGTAGGTCTTAACATTTAGGTTGAAATCAAATTATGAGAAATAATCGGGACTCTATTTTCTACTATTAGGTAGTCCTTGAAAGTACCCTAATCAACCCTTCTCACTTGAAATCAGTTTTAATGAAATTAGTAATTTTAAAAATTGTTCCTAAAAGCTCAGTCTTACAGTAGGTCTTAACATTTAGGTTGAAATCAAATTATGAGAAATAATCGGGACTCTATTTTCTACTATTAGGTAGTCCTTGAAAGTACCCTAATCAACCCTTCTCACTTGAAATCAGTTTTAATGAAATTAGTAATTTTAAAAATTGTTCCTAAAAGCTCAGTCTTACAGTAGGTCTTAACATTTAGGTTGAAATCAAATTATGAGAAATAATCGGGACTCTATTTTCTACTATTAGGTAGTCCTTGAAAGTACCCTAATCAACCCTTCTCACTTGAAATCAGTTTTAATGAAATTAGTAATTTTAAAAATTGTTCCTAATAGCTCAGTCTTACAGTAGGTCTTAACATTTAGGTTGAAATCAAATTATGAGAAATAATCGGGACTCTATTTTTTACTATTAGGTAGTCCTTGAAAGTACCCTAATCAACCCTTCTCACTTGAAATCAGTTTTAATGAAATTAGTAATTTTAAAAATTGTTCCTAAAAGCTCAGTCTTACAGTAGGTCTTAACATTTAGGTTGAAATCAAATTATGAGAAATAATCGGGACTCTATTTTCTACTATTAGGTAGTCCTTGAAAGTACCCTAATCAACCCTTCTCACTTGAAATCAGTTTTAATGAAATTAGTAATTTTAAAAATTGTTCCGAAAAGCTCACTCTTACAGTAGTCTTAACATTTACGTTAATTTATATCACTTATTAATGATCCTTTTCGTTCGCAGTTCGTCATCGGCAATATTGTCGAATTCTTTTGGTGGCTGGGATCCGCCGTCGTTACACTTACCAGACAGGGGCGGTGGCGGGGAAGGTAACGCATTACCTTCATTACCACCTGTAGGGGGTGCAAGCGACGGCGTTCCAAGCGATAACACAGAAGACGAATGGTCTAGGGGTAGCGGAGAAGATCCCGATGCCGAGATCGAACCTGTCACTACTCCGACAATAATCACCCCAACGCCGACAGTTACAACCCCGGTGGGTGGCGGTGGTGACGTGGCCCTGACCGAACTTGACCGAAAAGTTCAACAGGCAGCTCGACTAATGCAAAAAAATTGTAACTGCGCCAACGGCAAATGTTCAAAGTTGAACGTCAGTAAAGTTGGCGAAGGAAAGTACAACATCGCTGGACGAAACGTGTTTGTACGGGTGCGTTTTTAGTTGATTTATTTAGAGTTAGAAGTGAATTCCCGATTATTTGTATTTCTGGAAACTTCTCGTAACTTCTTTCTGTCATGTCTATCATGTTCGCCGCGCCACTTTCGGATACATCCAAAGTGCCGCCGATATCGATCGCCTGCGGCATTTCAATATCTAAAGTTATAACCCCTTTCATGAAAGGATTGTGCCTGCTTGGACTCTCCCTTGCATACTTTTATGAATTTAAACTCTAATAAAAGAAACATTCGTTAATTCAACAAAGCAATATATTTAAGAACATTTAGAAAGGAATTTCAAACTGTCAGTAATTAACAGTTGGTTTTAATTTACGTAATTACCCAGTAACATTACGCATATGTCTATTTACTGCTTATCGTTATTCATTATTAAATAATAAATAATTGATGAATGAATTTTAATTTCTTTTTTGAATTTTAATGAATTTTCCATGTCAAACGCCCGAAATGTAATTTGTAACGTATATCACTACTTTAGCTAGGATTAATTTAAAAATTTTAAATTTTTATTTTTAATAGCTTTTGAAAGGACGTCACATGATGGTTCGAGTGGGAGGAGGCTGGGATACCCTCGATCACTTTCTATTACGTCACGATCCATGTCAGGTGAAAGTAGTGACAAGAAGTAGCGAAGACTCGCCAAGTAGACCCGCTAGTGCCCCCAAATACCTTCATATCCGTGCCAAATATTGCAGTCCACCACCAAACGATTCCGTCAAACGCTAATAATTTTTTTTTGCAAAGCGCCTCTTTTAATTAAGCTAAAAACGCAAACTATACCTTAGATAGACTGCTTTCACATTTTGCAATAGCTGCAAAACTGAAAACTTAATCGTACCTTTAAGTATTGCAACTTGTGTAGCATCTACACCTTGTATATTCGCTAGTTTTGTAAGTTCACTTTTGTAATTTTATACAAAAAAGAATATGTGATTAAAACGCACATCTCATTATCATTACATCATTTAATAATAATTTAATAAGTGCCTGTTCCTAAAACTTTTCGTAATATCAAATCACGGATAATCATTACTAAATCTTATTCTTAATACAAATTTATTNGAAGAATTAAATTGAAATACTGCTCTTACTTTTATGTACACATAGGACATATTAGCGGTAGACTTCAAGAGCGATTTTCCAGCTTCAGAATTGACGTTTTGTTTTTTTGTTTTTGTATTTCAGTTAACTCCCTTATTGATAAAAATATTTGGGTATCTACTAATGCAGATTATTTTTGCTGTGACGTCCTTGGGAATTTGCAATTTAATTCAATAATCCATCCAAATAACATTTATAATTTTTATTAGAAAATAAGAACAAAAAGAAAATTTACGAATAAAAATGAAAAGAAGTATTTATTTTGCTTTGTTGACTGGCTACTAGTGAGAAGGATGAGCTTCTTTTTTTGAGCATAGCTTCTCAAAACGGAACTCAAGTTCGAAAATATTCACTCTCATTTTGTTTTATTACAAGCAGTTCTACATTAAATCCGCCAGAGAGACTAGGGAGATGAAATTTCCCGATTTATTCGTAAACGAAATAATTTTTCAGGGATTAGCAGCAAAACACCCCCCCCGAAAGGGAGTAAAATTTCATTTATCGTCCGCAAATCACTGATGAAAATTTCCCGTTCATCCTGAAAATTTCCCGTTCAATCCATCAAATTAGCAAAACATTCAATATTTTTTAAAAATAAGAAACAACAATTTTTTAACTAACTAATTAGCTATTAAATAGCGGCAAATTATCTTTCGAAAGATACAACAACACTTTACTTTCAAATAAAATGTCAGTCCGCATAAGCCTAAAGGAATTAATTAAAAAGTAAGTGCTTTTACTTTCGACGTGTATTATTTATGTTTATTCGTTTTAGGAATTTGTTTTCTTACTGGAGAAAATTTGCTAAGTGAACTGGATAACGGGGTTATTCTGTGTCACCTGGCGCACGTTATACATGACCAGGCTGTGAAAATGGTCGATGCCGGTCTTGCAAAAGGTGTAAGTTTCTTCTTTTTTTTTTATTAACCTCATTGTTCCCCTGCAAAATTTATTTATAAACTTGACGTTAGTCATAATAACAACTATATTCGTATTGTAAGTACTAAGGTTCACAAGTGTATAGGAAATATAATGGGTCATATAAACTGTTTGTACACATGGTAGTATAGGTAAAGTTACCTATTATTACAACTTTTAACTAATGCGTTATACCGCCGTGCGGTTTAAGCAGTTTAGCATTTTTGATTACCTTTAGTGTTTTTAAAATCCGTTTAAGTGTTAATTTAATTTATGATAATTATTGTGTGTGTCGAAAAAAAGTGTTTTTTTCTTATAACAACACGATAAATAAAAAGATATATCTTTAAAAATTGCAATAACTAATAAGACGTTTCTTATCAGATTTTAAATATCAATAATATGAAGAGATGTAACTTTGCTGAATTTAGCCTTAAAATTAGGAAATTTGACTAAAGACCAAGGTGCAAGCTTTGAAAAAAAAAAAATTAATAGAAATGATATCTCATAAGTTTCAATAGGTTTTACTTCTCTATCTCTAGAAGATTATTCNTTCAAATAATTACATGAATAAAACTTAGTTAATGAAAATTTCATTTTTAGGATTGCAAGATGTCCAGAGTAAAATCAAAACCCATAAAGGTACCAAATTATGCAAGAAAATATACTTATTACTGGAGTATGAGAAAACCGACAGTTTCAACACAAAAGTATCGACAAATCAAGAAAGAAACATGTCTATAAGTTCGCAATAATCAAGTTAATCACGAATAAAATGCATAACGTACAATACACATACGGTTGTTTGAACCAAAAAGAAAATTTTTGTTTACAGTATAGTGGTCTAGTACCTATCATTAATTTGCTATTAACTTGCGACGTTTTTATTATGCAATGTTCAAACTTGAAACTATCGAGTATCTAATTGGAATGAAACTAATGTTTGTGTGTTTGATTCTTTTACTTTTATTAGATTGTACAAAAATATAAATAAATTACATAAAAATTGTTACGATAAGTAGACGTATATTCATATATTATATACTTTTACGAAAGAACTACTTAAATATAATAATAACACTATCTATTTGAATGAAGTCATACTTAATAAATTATTACTTACTTAATTATATTGAACATAAATGCATAATACAAATGCCAAATGAATTTATATTATTTTATTGTAATTGTTCACATAGTGGTTGTACTACTAGCATTTTTAATTACTTTGTGTTTAGCTTTTTTAAACAAGGATTCCACTTGTCCTGAAAAAAATGTAAGAGACAGATTTACATCACTTATTGCATTTACAATTTAATTGCCACTCCATATCAAAACAGCAGATGCAAGAAGATGGAAAGGTGAATATAATAATTGCAATTCCTTATTATATTTAATAGTAAATTGAACACTTTAGAAAAGGTTAAAATTATTGATGGTAATTGTAAACAATATGGGACCCACAAAGGTGTGACGAAGGGTATAGAGGGTGGGAAGACCTTGTATAACACGGGGTTTTTAGGTGACGTTGCGAGTGAAAAGTTGAAAAAGAAACTAATATAACCTAATCCAACCCTAAATTAATCTAATCCAATATACTAAAATGTTTCTGTCTGAAATCCCAATTTTGTAGTTTTACCATTACTCAAATGTTTTACTACATTTAATTGATTAGATTTAATACACGATAATACCTCCATCTATCCCCCCGCATATAAACATTTAGGGTTGTACAAGATCATCCCCACCCTTCTTTCTGTTTCCCCTTCATGCGGTGGATTCAACATTGTAAACTTATTTATTTCTTGTATGACGCCTGGTATACGAAAAAGTTATTAACTAATATTTGCTGATAATTTCAACACTTCTGCGTTACGCCACTTTCTCCTAATTACAGAAACGTTACCAAATATACAAAACAAGCAGTTAATATAACACAAGTAACAAAAATAAATCCCACAAATGCAGTGCTTGTTACAAATATTCTTTTAAAACATAATATTAAGAACCTTATCGAATAAACTGAAGTAAAATTCAGACGTCACAATCGTGTTGATAATCAAAGATGCAAAAATGAGTAGCAAGATGGATATGTGATCACAATCACGACGTCATAAAAATAGTTAAATCTTTGATTAACAACAAACGTTATAATGAAATGGGTTAGCCACACACACTTTAAACACCACAAAGTATAAATTAATAACATTCTGAAAAAGACTACACCAAAAATACCATAGACAAACATTAAATATAAATTTATCGTCAACTGATTAAAAAGAAAATAACATTATTCGATTTTATATGAAATATGAACACTGAATTATGCAATGTATAATAGTGTATAAATTCCAAATTGAAATTTTTCGACGTAAATACATGCTATGTTTTCTTCTTATGAATTAGTGAAATTATAAATTAAGAACAAATACATTCCTTTTCCTATTAACAAATAGTGTTATTTCAATAAATCATTTAAAACATGATTATATGTACTTTCCACCTATGAATGATTTGCAAAATTACATATCAAACCGTTCCATATTTTTTTTTAAAAGCTTAGGATATATGAATTCATCAGCAACATGGAAACTACTCAGTAACATTAATGCGTAAAAATGCTTATTTTTTCTTACTTTTACCAAGTGTTAAAGTGTGATGGCTGGAGCCCATTTGTTGAAATTGACTTTTTCTGCGATGAAATTCAATTATTTCATCTTCAAGTTTCTTTCTATCTTCTTCAATTTTCTTCTTTTCTTCAGTATGTTCTTTTTTTAACTTATCAAATTTAGCATGCAGCTAAAAAAAATAATGTTAATACGTTTACCTCACAACCAAAAACAATAAGTCTTACCTCTTTTTCAGCCTCTTTTAATTCACTTTCCTTTTCTTTAACACGCACCACAAACATTTGTCTCATTTCATCTTCTTTCTGTTGCAACTCCTGCAAATGATTAGTCCTTTTGGCCTCAAAAGTTTGCTGAAAACTGACAGGCTTATTATCAGCATCAACATCACTGAAACCCATCTGTTCCAATCTCTTCTTTCTGTAAAGCTCATAGTGTTTGCAATGTGTCTTTTCTCTCATATCCTCCATATTAGTTCTAATAAGCATTTCTCTCAGCTTAACAAAATCACAATGAGATTCGTTTTCCACCTGAACAGTGCCCCAAGGGTACTGTCTGGCTCTGACCTGTTTATTTCCAATTCGAACGAAGTCAGTGCTTCCAACAACAGCAAATGGAATGTGACTGTTCATATTTCCATTAACTTCTGACACAGATTCATCGTCGGTGGGAAATTCGTAAATTTGGACATCATTATTTTGTAATTCTGCCATGATTTTTGACTTAAATTTTTGAAGTTCTGTTTTAGAAATAGTATCTGCTTTTGCAATAATTGGGACAATATTGACTTTCTGATCAAGTTTTTTCATACAGACTAAGTCAATAGATTTCAGACCATGCCCGGTTGGGCAGATAAAATATAAACATACATGAATCCTTGAATCATGGTAAGTTGATAAAGAACGCTTTATTTTTAATTCTTCTTGTAGGTACACTTCAAATTGGGTATCGATATAATCTACTACAGTTTTGAAACTGTCTTCTTTATTTATTTGATCTCCATAACCAACGGTGTCACAAATTGTTAACTATAAATTTAAAAAATTCTGTTTGTGTTGCTGTTTATTAATTCCTCTTAACTAAAAAAATACCTTTAGTCTGACGTTACTTTCATGAAGTTCATATGTATGAGCCTTTAGTTTAACTGAAGGTAAAGAATGGGGGCTGGGAGCTGATTCAAAATTAGTATTGAATAATGAATCCATTAGAGTCGATTTGCCTAAGCCAGTCTCACCTGTAAGTAAATGTTTTACCTTATACTCTTAATATCACTCACATAAAAATAAAAATATTTTTAGCTTACCGATACACATGATGTTGAAAACAAATCCATTTTGGACACTTTTTGAAACAAGCTGATCAGGAAGACTATCAAATCCCACATGGCCAGCAAGTTTTAAATTTCGTATGTGATTTTCCATCTACAATAAATACATCTATAAAATTGAGGGAGTAATTGATACATCAGAGTATCTAGATTTCAGCAATTAAAATTCCAAGATACGAGACAACGCCTTAATGTTATCAAAACAAACACAAGTTAAAGTGTTTAAAGTTGGTAAATCAAATCTAATATAAGGTAAAATGTCTAAAATAAATTGGTACTTACATTTGGTTGCTCGACTTCTACTCCAGCCATTGTTTTCTTTAATAAAAAGCGGTCACTTTTACAACATAAAACTTTATACAAAATAGCACAACTGACAGTTAAATATACCGTAACCTATAACCGCCTACAACATTTTATTGTGCATCCGTCCCATAGATCCGTTCGTTATCTTTATTTGGAAGTTTGTAGGTCACGTGATGTTTTAGTATTGCTAACATAGACAAATTGCTAATACTATATATAGTGTTCAAGAACGCTGAAACGGCTAGCGACAGCAGAATGTTAAAGAGGAGATTCTTAACATTTAATGGATCGTTGAAAACCATAGCAGAAAATGAGGCCAAAAAATCCAGTATCCGCCATTATTTGGTGGCAGACATTGCAGTACATTGTGGTTTCTGTTGGGAAATTAAAAAAAGAAAGATATAGTTTTATGAAACCTTATACAACATTGTTTTATATTACAGGAATAATTATATGTTAATTTGTACAAATTTCAGTTATGCTGATTTAACTTATGGTTTTATCTATGCTCTTGACCGTTCACCCAAGAACGTTTATTTGTTAACTGTAATGTTATCTATGGCATGTCTATGACTGTAATCACAGAGTGTAATCTATGGTTGACTGTTGTATTTCCTATTTTGTGGTTTATATTATGGTTCATATATTGTTAAATTGCTACCTATCAGATAGACACCCCTAAGATTAATTTTTGTTTATTAAAATGAGGCAATATGTCAAATGTACATTATATTGTAAAATTAAATAATGTTTGTGAAGTTAAAGAAATGTTCTGTATAAACTGTTTTCCAAAAATATGGAAACGTCATGTTGGGAAGTTACAACTATTCAAATAATTGTCCATATGACGTAATTTTTATTCTTGTATAAGTAAATAAAGGCAAGCTTTAAGGACGCAATAACCATCCTCGTTGCTTACAATTTCTGCAGTCATGGAAGACTACAAATTCTTATTTAAAGTTGTGTTAGTAGGTAATGCAGGTGTTGGGAAAACATGTTTAGTGAGACGTTTTACACAAGGACTCTTTCCACCTGGGCAAGGTGCAACAATTGGTGTAGATTTTATGATAAAAACTGTGGAAGTTGATGGAGAAAAAGTAAAAGTATGTATCCATTTATCTATATAATAATAGTTATCCAAATAGATGTTTGTTGTTGCAGTTACAAATTTGGGATACAGCTGGTCAGGAACGCTTTCGTTCCATCACACAAAGTTATTATCGTTCAGCTCATGCTTTAATCCTAGTTTATGACATTTCTTGCCAGCCAACATTTGATTGCTTGCCAGATTGGTTACGAGAAATTGAAGAATATGCTAGCAGTAAAGTCTTGAGGATATTAGTTGGTATGTTTTTCACCAAATTACAGTCTTTTATATACTTACAAATATGTTTTTCAAGGTAATAAAATAGACAGAGAGGACAGAGAAATACCAGTTCATGTAGGTGAAGATTTTGCTTCAAGACATAACATGTATTTTTTAGAAACATCTGCCAAAGAAGCTGACAATGTAGAAAAATTGTTTATGAAAATTGCAGAAGATTTGATGCAGGTGAGTTTTCAATTAAACTTTTTGTTATTCTAAGGAGGAACTGGAGTTAACCAGTAATGGTGGTAATAATCAGAAACCAAGAACTATTCTATTAAGTGCTCTTTAGGTTTGNTAATTAAGACTTGTAATAATTTGTATTATAGCCTCCACCAAAAATACAAGGGAAGTGTTTTGAAAGAGCGATGCGACGAAGTTTCTTTTCGAGGGATAACATGGAAAATTTCATCAAATTTTGTAGATCATTAGGAGTTCATCAAAATTTACTTTTTGAAAGCGATGACTTAGGTCAGTAACGTTCTCTATTCCTTCTAACTTTGTAAAAGACTGCTATTAGTACATAATAACTTATTGCGAGTGAATGGACTTTTCAATGATAATAACAGAATCATACGTTTAAGCGAGGCTTTATTGAGCTAGTTAATTTATTTGTTCTTTGCTTGCATAATTTGCTTTTTAAATGCATTTTCACGGAAAACAATGGATATTTACAGTGTTTCAGGAAATAATCTCGTTTTTGCCACATTAACTACTTGCTGATGTCAAATTTATTGAACACTGTACGCGTAATTTTCTAATTACCGCTTTTATAAAAAGCTTTTGCAGCTACTGGCGAATCTAAAGACAGGTCTATGTCCCAACTTCTAGTATCATATCTAGTTATCACTGCAATTAAAGAGACTAATAACGTTTACGCGAAATTATTATTACAATTTATCTTATTATAAGTATTATGTGAAGAAAACTGTTTTATCATGAATCCAATTTGATAATTTCGAAGAAAATTCAAGTATAGTTTAAAAGCAATAGCCTACGAATTAGAAATCGGTGTTAAAATCATTTAGATCCCATTGTAGATAGATAAATTGCTTTATTAAAACCATTATGTTTTATATACATACATATACAAAGTGCATTTACAATAATAAGCTACTGAATCCTCTTAGCTATTCTATGTATTTACTATTTTCCTCCTTTATAATATTTTCCCATTTTTTCGCACCATTTTCTGTTATTCGATGCGATCCCTCAAATGTGTTCGATTGTCTCTTTTTCCATTGATCGCCCATCCTCTTTCAATTTAAAACTTTTTTCTTTCCTTTTTCCATCTTTTCCTTGTGATTTTCTTTTCTTCGGTTTCAATATTCGATATATTATCCTTAACTTTTATATATTCTTTTAAAAACATATTGTCTTCTGAATTTAACAATTTTGTCTTCGTACTCATCGAATATTTTGTGGTCAATTTTTCTGTTTTTGTTTCTTCTTGTAATAGGTATGTCGGTATATTTCTATCTAATATTAAAATCCGTCTTGTGCTTAATGTTTATGTCTTGAATGGTTTCAATTTCTTTTCTTTCTTCCCGTACAATAATATGCTCTCTACTAATGTCCCGAATAGAAACTTTCTTTTTTTCCTACTATTTCAGATTTCTTTCTCCTTTTCCCCATACCTTTCCTATTATCGCTATTGCTTTCTTCAGCAGTTTTTTTTTTATGTGTCCATCTACTCCATTATTTTTTTGTAATACGAATCCTAGGTAACTGAACTCTATAATTTCTTCGATTATTTTTTGTTCCTAGTAGAATTTTAATTTTTTCTTTCTTCCCCCTGATTTTCCCCTTAAATTTTTTGACTTATCTGTATTTAATTCCAGCCCTCTTTCTTTTATATGTTTTTATTGAACTTTTGCACATTTTACCTCAGCCCTCTTTCGTTGTTCGCTAATATATCGCTATGTCATCTGCATATGAAACTGACCAGGTTTTTTCTTCTACCAGTTACTTTTCCCTCTTGTTACGCTTAAATGAGCAATCCTGTCTTATTCCCTCTCTCTTTGCTATTTTTTTTTAACTTTTCCTCATTGGCTTCTATCTTAAGGTATATTTCTTGGTACGTTTCTTTTATTATATTTTCTCTTAATTTGTTGTCTAGTTTTAGATTTTTCATACCAAGTTTCTTTTGAGTTTATGGAACTCGCCTTGCATTTACGCAAAAAAAGAAGAATATATTTTACCTTTTTCTCTCTTTATTTCTTCATCACACGCTGTTTTGATTATGTAGATTGTATTAATAGTGCCTTTGTTTCTTTTGTATGCTAGCACTTTATTGTCTTCCAATTCTTTCTCAAGTCTTTCAGCGTAGATTTTCTAATATGTGCTCATGAATGTTATTCCTTTATATTTTTCTACATTACTTCTGAAATTGGCTCTATCATTCCTGTTTTCCATTCTCCCGGAAGTTCTTCATCTTCGTTCTGTATTTGATTATGTACTGTTTATTTCCAATCTCCAGCTTCTTCTACTCCGTCCAATATTATTTCCATATCCCCATTTTTGTATATTATTAAAAAAATTATACTAGTAAAGTAGTAATTATTATTTATATTTACAACGAAATACCGATCATCCCAATAAAAAAGATTCAGCGAGCCCCCCAAAAAGAAGTTCTAGATTTGCCTTTGCTTTCAGAAATATATTTAAATCGGGGAAAATTATCATTGAAAATGCTATTATACTATGATTTGTTTCCGTTATTTTTCAAATGTTATACTCCGATTTCCGGAAGTAACTATCACCTTAATTGCTAGAGCAATTTCGATCGTAAGGGTCATTAATTGCAACTATGCTCCACGAAGATCATTCATCTACGCTTGGATAAGCGTATTAATCTAACACTTGCATTAAATTAATAACAACCTTCTCGCAGAGCTGTTATTTTTGTGTTTGAAAAGTTCAATGCTCTTCGCGTGCATTTTTTTTTCTGTTGTTCCGTGAAGTTCAACGTTATTAAATGCTCGATAATTGTTTGTTTATATTTATTGTTCAGTGTTACACAATCAACCTCGAAATGTGATTTTGTGTTTATTGGAAGTCGCTCGTTTGGCGCACAACAAATACAGGATAGAACCGCCAGGTCTTGTACAACTGGAAAAAGAAATTGCGGAAGAAGAAAGAAACAATTCTGCGGATTCGGGACTCGGATCCTTATTGTCCTGGCAATTTCAAGCGACACCTCCGCGCATTATGACTAACAGGATGCGGCACAGCAGGTAAGTTTACTTACAGTATTTTCCATTTTAACTTTTCTTTTAAAAATGTTTTTTTAACTTGTTTTGTTGTTTGTCTGCTACACATCTTGGTAGTTAATTTTGAGTCAGTTCCTGCTATTTTGCATGTGCATCTCATTATGTCCTTGAAATTTCCCTAATCAACCCTTCTCATTTGAAATCACTTAATGAAATTAGTAATTTTAATAATTGTTTCGAAAAACTCACTCTTACGGTAGGTCTTAACATTTAGGTTGTAATCAAATTGTAATAAATAACCGGGACTCTATTTTTTACAGTTAGGTAGTCCTTGAAATTACCCCAATCAATCCTTACATAAGATTATTTTTAATGAAATTAGTAATTTTAAAAATTGTTCCGAAAAGCTCAGTCTTACAGTAGGTCTTAACATTTAGGTTGAAATCAAATTATGAGAAATAATCGGGACTCTATTTTCTACTATTAGGTAGTCCTTGAAAGTACCCTAATCAACCCTTCTCACTTGAAATCAGTTTTAATGAAATTAGTAATTTTAAAAATTNTTCGATAGAGTGGTATTAAAAAGTTCTGTATCTACAATTCCAGGATGTACAGCATAACATTCCACATTCAAATTATTTTCTTTAAAATACCTATCTAACTGCTTTGTAAATAATATTTGCGCCAATTTGGATTGGCTGTATGCAGCAGCAGTAATAAAATGCGATCTAAAATGAAAAATATTACTAAAATTATCAGTAATTAAATATATCCGTAAAAATGATAGCAATAGTTATAATTACCACTTACTTATTATTTATGTCATCATAATTTATTTCACCAAGAACATGTGCACATGATGAAACGTTAACAATTCGGGAACGGTCATTGTTATTTCCTGCTGCTTTTATATTATCAAGTAATAGATGAGTTAATAAAAAGTGTCCTAGGTAATTAGTAGCAAATTGTAACTCATATCCGTCCTCAGATTCTGCGTATGGCCCAAACATTATTCCAGCTAAAACAGTTAAAGTTTAAAACTGTGATCAAAAAACTATATCGTATTGCTTTTACTAAAAAAAATAACACCCTTGACATTCAAAAGACTAATATCCCGGTATAAAATAGTATTTTCTTTTATTTAAACATGCACGGATTAATTTAAAAGGAAAATCCTCATATCTGCTATTTTTGCAATTTTTTCGTTTAAACAAAAAACGACTTGACCGAATGTTTTTTCAGATTAATAATCGAGACTATAGTCCTGAAATCATTTTTTTGTTCACACGATATCACTCAGAAAAAAAAAATGACCTCGCTCGTACACGTACCCACACACATTCCCCAGTTACGTACGTTGCAATATTATTATGATCTCCAAATTGCAAAATATTTTGAAAACTACGATTTTGATTTCCGGACCCATTATAATAACTTCCCAAAAACTTATGAAGTTAATAATTTATGGAATAATTATAATGATATTTAAAGAGATCCTACTTATAAACGATGTTTATTCATTACTTGTCCCTGAAGTGTATTCCATTGAGTTTAAAGTCTAGGTATTTGTTAAATATATGTATATTTAATTCTGAGATTGAATAACGGTATATTATAAACATATATTTTTAACAGCTAATTAACTATCTCTTTAAATTACCACGTGTATCTCCGGTTCTTCCTGAATAAGAACGAATTAATAATAAGTAGAATTTCTAATGTTGCATTTTAAGCATATATTTACTTTTGAGATAATAATTTGTAGCAAGCTCGAAGTAAAGACCTATTGCGTTATGACAAAGACACTGCTAATATTACTGGGAAAACATCAGTAATAACTGATTCCAACTGTTGCAGTCGTTTAACATAAAGTTGTGTTGTATATCAACTTATAATTTATCTGTTACGAGCTTTAATAATTGCTCCTCAGGTACCTTTTTATTATTGTATGTATTTAACATCTAAAGAGATTTATATATGGTTGTGTTGACAGTTTCTCTTATTAATTTTTAATGTTTCCTAAAGAAAACCATAAAGACGTAAGCTTTTACAATTAGGAAATCATACGTGATAAGTTGATTTTGTTACAATTCCTTTTATACTTTTATATATATACTTTTAATGCATTAACTAAACTTTAAGCATATCGTAGAATAAAGTAAATAATAATTAATTTTTGCAAAAACTTTCTGTTATTGTTGCACATGGTAAAAAAGGTCTACTATTTTTTTTTTATCATTGCTTCTCAATTTTAAATGTACCTGTTAATTAATTTTAAAATGTTAACAAAAAATATACCAATAAGAGTAAACCAACACATCAAAACAGTTTTGTTTCTCCCATTTTAATGCTTTGCTTCTACAACGAATCAGTGAAGAAATTTAGGGCTTATTTTCTTGAAGTTAGGTCTTGTTGTAAAATTAAAATTGGATATAACAAATNGTGCAATTTTCAACCGAAATTCCTTCACTTTTAAACTCTTTAAAAAGCTGTTCGCCCGCTTTAATATTTCGACAACCTGTAATAATGTTTTAATTAATAAATGAATGATTTTCTGAGCTATAAAAATATTACCGATGACCACGTGAATGCCACATTTTAGGAGCATTTTTACCACTTCTTTACCAATCCCTCTTGCACCGCCTGTAATAACGGCTACTTTGCCTGACAACTCGCGAAATTCTATAAAAGAAAATTTAGTTGTATTAATGAGTGACAGTATGAATTATAATTTTTAAAGTATTTTAAATGCACTGAAAGTCATAATTTTATTAATAAATACCTCACTTTTACCTTTAATTAAAAAAGTGGTTCATTTTACCTTTATAATGATTTGCTTTTTAATAATTGTGATCTAAATAATGTATTCTGTTGGCAGTAATATAAAAAGCCATGAATAATAATTATTTTTCGATAAAGATTTTATTGTTAATAGGACGTAAATGTATTACTTTAAAAAAATGTAGTAAGGGATTTTTACATCTTACTAATTATTATGACTTACTCTNTAACTAGTTTACATCCCTCATTTTAACGATTTTATGATTTTAACAATACATTTGAGCGCATTGAGGAAGGTCAGAGTAGAGATAGGAATACAAATTATATTGCGAGCCATAAGAGCGTCATAATACTATGTTCGGTAGTCTCTGCGCAGTAAGGTAGTGCGCATCCGATTTGAGGCGTATGTAATACTGTGATTTTGTTTCCCTTTTGTGTTTGATAACTGCTATCGAAAATAATGCACAGTTCCTCATTGCGTAACAGACCGTAGGATTATTTATTCTTTGTTAGTGATAATTTTCTCTGAACTATTGAAGCTATGTAAATTAATTATTGACGCCAATTGATTACGCGTCATTTGTTCTTGAAGAATGAGTTATTATGGTAAGCGGAATTTATATTTGTATTATTTATTGCAAATAAAAGTTAAATTAAATCTCATATGTATTAATAATACGTGTGCACGACCGAAATTCTCAGTTTTCTTTTTCTATTATCTGGATTTACTTAATTGACTAATGATTGCTAATGACCAAAACCATAGACCATAGATAGCTTAAAGACGCTATGCGTCTGGATGGTGAACCAGCTGACAGCATATATTTTATATCTATAAATTTATATAATCTATGGAGACGAAATGTTGGCGGCAATGGCCGTTTGTTCTGATTTATTTCGTAAGTAATAGCAAATTAAGGTTAATTCTTAAATAAGAATTTCTGTTATGGAATTGTTGAAATCTTATTAATAGATATTGTTGTTAACGATATGCATATTGTTTTTTTCTGAAACTTATTTATTTGTAGTGTTATATTACCTCCCCAGAATGTTGAGTATTTAGGTACATGGATTTTCATTCGATTTGGCTTAATTTATCAACTATATACAACTTTTTACGGTATTATAACATGACTTAGGACATTCTCTATTTTTTTCAGATTGTGGTACTTGTAATTAAGCAATTGGTTGTATTTTGGGCCCCTCTTCCTATAATTGCTTGTTATGGGGTTTGGATCCAGAGTAAACTCGGGAGGCAGAATATGTTTGTGACCAGTATGTACATAGACAAATTGGATTAAAAGGTAGGATTGTTAGAATTTAATAAGTGAACTGTTTGTGCACTTTAATTCAACTGTTTCTGGTGTTTGCTTTCTACTAATTTTATTTTGGAACATTTTCTTTGAGAAAAGGATTGTTTTTTAAAAAAGAAAAACAATTTGTAATGCGTATTTGAGGTAATTCATTGACACTACATTTCTGTGAGCATTGGAATAAATAAATTAGGGGGTCAGTATCAAAAGTATATTTGTATGCTGTTATCGTTTGGCTTCTGTTTTGCTCTACTAAAAAACTGTTTTTTTAATGTCACAAGTAATATTTCGTCATTTTATATGGTAGTCCCAAATATTCATAAAGCTGATCATTTTAATGATTTCGGAGGTTGTTGTTCATTAAGAAAAGTTTCAGAGAATAGAAAAGAGGCTTTTAAGTCAAATTTGAAAATACATAATTATTTTAGCTAATTTATGCTCTTGACCGTTCACCCAAGAACGTTTATTTGTTAACTGTAATGTTATCTATGGCATGTCTATGACTGTAATCACAGAGTGTAATCTATGGTTGACTGTTGTATTTCCTATTTTGTGGTTTATATTATGGTTCATATATTGTTAAATTGCTACCTATCAGATAGACACCCCTAAGATTAATTTTTGTTTATTAAAATGAGGCAATATGTCAAATGTACATTATATTGTAAAATTAAATAATGTTTGTGAAGTTAAAGAAATGTTCTGTATAAACTGTTTTCCAAAAATATGGAAACGTCATGTTGGGAAGTTACAACTATTCAAATAATTGTCCATATGACGTAATTTTTATTCTTGTATAAGTAAATAAAGGCAAGCTTTAAGGACGCAATAACCATCCTCGTTGCTTACAATTTCTGCAGTCATGGAAGACTACAAATTCTTATTTAAAGTTGTGTTAGTAGGTAATGCAGGTGTTGGGAAAACATGTTTAGTGAGACGTTTTACACAAGGACTCTTTCCACCTGGGCAAGGTGCAACAATTGGTGTAGATTTTATGATAAAAACTGTGGAAGTTGATGGAGAAAAAGTAAAAGTATGTATCCATTTATCTATATAATAATAGTTATCCAAATAGATGTTTGTTGTTGCAGTTACAAATTTGGGATACAGCTGGTCAGGAACGCTTTCGTTCCATCACACAAAGTTATTATCGTTCAGCTCATGCTTTAATCCTAGTTTATGACATTTCTTGCCAGCCAACATTTGATTGCTTGCCAGATTGGTTACGAGAAATTGAAGAATATGCTAGCAGTAAAGTCTTGAGGATATTAGTTGGTATGTTTTTCACCAAATTACAGTCTTTTATATACTTACAAATATGTTTTTCAAGGTAATAAAATAGACAGAGAGGACAGAGAAATACCAGTTCATGTAGGTGAAGATTTTGCTTCAAGACATAACATGTATTTTTTAGAAACATCTGCCAAAGAAGCTGACAATGTAGAAAAATTGTTTATGAAAATTGCAGAAGATTTGATGCAGGTGAGTTTTCAATTAAACTTTTTGTTATTCTAAGGAGGAACTGGAGTTAACCAGTAATGGTGGTAATAATCAGAAACCAAGAACTATTCTATTAAGTGCTCTTTAGGTTTGCTATAATTACATTATTACAATAATATTGTTAATGTCTTTATAAAAAATATGCAGCATCAAAAGCAACAAACATGAACCAGTTCCAGTTGAAATCTTCTACTTATTATATAAGTATTTAAAGTAGGTATAAAAATTGGGAAGTTTAAAATTTTTATATCAGGTATTGGTATCATTACCAAACATGCAATTTAATTAATTTTGTTTTAGAATTGCGTTGCAGGTATTTGTTAAATATATGTATATTTAATTCTGAGATTGAATAACGGTATATTATAAACATATATTTTTAACAGCTAATTAACTATCTCTTTAAATTACCACGTGTATCTCCGGTTCTTCCTGAATAAGAACGAATTAATAATAAGTAGAATTTCTAATGTTGCATTTTAAGCATATATTTACTTTTGAGATAATAATTTGTAGCAAGCTCGAAGTAAAGACCTATTGCGTTATGACAAAGACACTGCTAATATTACTGGGAAAACATCAGTAATAACTGATTCCAACTGTTGCAGTCGTTTAACATAAAGTTGTGTTGTATATCAACTTATAATTTATCTGTTACGAGCTTTAATAATTGCTCCTCAGGTACCTTTTTATTATTGTATGTATTTAACATCTAAAG